TCATCCCAGTGCTCCACCATCCCATCCCAGTGCTCTACCATCCCATCTCATCCCATCAGTGTTCCATTGTCCTATCACAATACCCCATTGTTTCATCACAGTTGTCCTATCCCAGTGTAGACCTGTCTCATCCAAGTTCTCTGTCCCATTGCAATTCTCCACTGTCCCACCACAGTGCTCCATTTTCCCATCATAGTGCTCCACTGTTTCATCACAGTGGTATTATTTTAGTGCTTCATTTACTAATCATGATGTGCATTGGTTTCATCACAATGCTCAGTCCCATTATAATTCTCCACTGTCCTGTGACGGTGCTCCACTGTCCTGTGACGGTGCTCCACTGTCCGTGATGGGGCTTCACTGTCTGATCAGAGTACCCCATGTCCCATCACAATGCTTCATCATCCAATCAAAACTCTTCACTGTACTATCAGAAAGCTACACCGTACATGAAACATTATTACAATGCTGCAGTGTCTTGACACAGCAGTCCCTTGTATCATCCCAGTGTTCTGTCTTTCAGAATGTCCCACTGTCCCATTGCAATGCTGTATTTCCTCTTTATAATACTTCACTGTCCCACCAGAGTGTTCCATGTTCCATCATGGGGCTCTACTGTCCACCACAGTACCTCTGTCTCATATTAGTGCTCCATTGCTCAAAAACAATGCTCCCAAAACAAAGCACAATGCTTCTGATGAACTCTCACAACGTTTTAAAATTCTATCACACTGCTGTACCTTCCCTGTATAATATTCTGCCATAGTGGTCTACCATCCCATCACAGTGCTCCACTACCCCATCACAGTGCTCCACTACCCCATCACAGCGCTCCACTACCTCATCACAGCGCTCCACTACCTCATCACGGTGCTCCACTACCTCATCACGGTGCTCCACTACCTCATCCCAGTGCTCCACTACCTCATCACGGTGCTCTACTACCTCATCACAGTGCTCCATGGTCCCATGATTGTACCCATTTGAGCCATCTCAGTAGTCCACTGTTCCTCAATGTTCCTTTGTCCGTATCCTAGTCTTCTAGTGTCCCACCATGATATTTCCTCCTCTGCCCTTGCGTTTTGGCCAGTGCATGTCCCAGAGCATCTGATGTCTTTGTGGCACTGAACTCGGTGCCTATCACACAAGAAGGTACATTTGTGTATCAGAAATCATTTGGTGCTTGGCTTTAAATGTCCTACTCAACTCCTGTAAGGAAAACGGGGAACATACTGGCTCATGGATAGGAGATTGTGCTGTTGGCATTGGTAAAGCTGGTGTCCATGGATCTAAATGTTCCTGGCATACTGTCTGACCATCTTCTGTCTCTGCTAGTTTGTATGAGTTGTCTGTTATCCCTTCCATGGAAATCCATAAGATGGGAAATCTGACCACTACTGGTCTCCCATTCTCCCTAGTAACTTTGGTTTTATAGATGTCATATGATGGCTGGGATGATCATTCATACATTGGGCCAGTTGCTGCACACAGAAGGGTAAGCTTCCTTATTGCCAGCCCAATCTGGGGACTGTACTCACTGTTAGGATTGTGAGTATTCTACACAGGGAAGACTTTCCAAAAGAAGTGGGCAGTGGGCCGGGCAGTGGTGGCGCACGCCTTTAATCCCAGCACTTGGGAGGCAGAGACAGGCAGATTTCTGAGTTCGAGGCCAGCCTGGTCTACAGAGTGAGTTCCAGGACAGCCAGGGCAACACAGAGAAACCCTGTCTCGAAAAACCAAAAACCAAAAACCAAAAAAAAAAAAAAAAAAAAAAGAAGAAGTGGGCAGTGGCTTTTGGTAGACAATATAAAAAAGGACAGTGTGACAGTGTGACATTTAAATGTATGTGTTTGGGGTGAGGACAGGGGTCTGGTACAGTCTGAGCTTTCCTACTGTCCTCTGAGCCTGGGGCCCTGGCTTCTCTCCTCCTGTAATCCATCATCCTGCCATGCCCATCCCTCTTCCTTCCCTAGGGGCTCCTGTTCTCTCTATGGATTAGTAATTAGCCAAGACTCTTCTAGCTCAGTGGTGCAGACCTGGGTCTTCACGGTTGGCTGAAGAGTGTCCTCTCTACCGTTTTCACAGTTATAATTAAACTAGCCAGGTAAATGTGGTTAGGGAGCTATTACTTGCTTCCGTGTCACCATGGAAAGGGCACTACCATGGAGAGAAATGGTGGCTAACAGCTCTGGGCATCACAACCATGTGTTCCACAGGGCATGGTGTGAAGCAGCATCCAGAGAGGGTTTGCAGCACTTTGATCTTTGACCTAAACTCTCTGTCACTGTGTTATTATTAAAGTATTTGAAAACTGATATAACTAAAGCCTGAGACTTCTGAAAACACTAACATGTAGTGTCTTTGGTGCTCAAGGCTGTGGAAAGGCAAAGGATTCAAAGTCCTTTAGTGACTTATGGGCCCAAATGCCACATGAAGGTGTACTCCCAAAGGCAAAAACTTTGGTCCCTGGAAAATGAAAAATTTAAAGCTCACACCCTTCAGAAGAAGACATTTTTTCTCTTTAACTTAACCATGGACCAGAGACTTCCAGAATGTAGAGAGAAGTCAGTGAGCTTACTGAATAACATAATGTTTATCCAAAATTTAAATCTATTGGATGTTTTTCTTTCCTTCTCTTTCCTTTCTCCCTCCCTTCCTCCTCCCCTCCCACCTTCACAGCCTGCCTCCCTCCTTCCCTCTTCCTTCTTCCCTCCCCCTTCCTTCTTCCTTGCCTTTTCTTTTGGGTTGGGGAAGACACCTAACCCCACCCCCACCCTGCCCCAGCTTATTCCTCCTCAGCACGTAAATGCTCTACCATTGACGCATTGACTTTTCCTTTTATATTTCGCTGTCATGTACGTGGTGTGCTTGTGTCTGTATGTGCCACTTCCCCTCACCTTTCTCTATTGACCTGAGTTTTCTCTTTACCTCTCTGGAATTGATATCTTAGTCATCTCTGTTGCATTTATTGAATAGAGTTTTATATTCTGTATTAATGTTTCCAAAAGAGACTGAGTGAGACATTTCATGTCTCTAAAGATAATCGAAAGCCCAATAGCAATGACATAACCTCATCACCCTCTTGGATGGAGCCCTGACATTGATTTTCTTCTGTGAGCCAGGCGCCTCCCCCGTGGACAGGGCCTGGATTCCTGGGGCAGAGACAGGCATAGGCACTCAACAGTAATTGAGAGTAGTGTCAGTCACCTTAAGACAGCTTCTGATCTGTAACATCCTCCCAGGACTGGGACGAAGTAGATCAATTCACTAGGTCCGGATGCTTACTTTTAATGAGCAACTGGGGAAGTTTCTTCAAGCACAAAGGACCAAATCTGCTCACTGATTCTGGAGAGCACAGGGTCAGCCCTCCGGGGGAGTAGGAGAAACTGCAGGGGCCAGTTTCATGCTACCCCGTTGAGGGTAAGTGGGACGCTGATGCATTGGATTCTGATGGGGTCTCAACTTCCTTTAGCTATTGTCTCTTTCTGCTCCTGTCTCCGATGCTCTCATGTTCTGTTCCACTGTGACCCTTCACCTTTCCCTTCTGAGCAAATGTGCTGGAGACAAGCATTAACATTTGCTGTGAGTTTGACACACTGAGTTACTAAAAGATATTCATATTGGCTATTATTCTGGAACATGGAAGAGTTCTACGCTATACGCTCAGTTCCATTCACCCCCATTTACCTGTTTCCTTCTGGTAGGACTGAAAGTGTAGAAAAACAGGGCTGGCAACTCCAGCCACTTAGCATCATAGAACAACTGCTACAAATACACAAAATATCACTTTGTCTGATACTTTGTCCCTATCACATTCCTTAGGTAGCCTCTCTCCAAATCATATAAGACATGAATGAAGCACAAACATTTTAATTTCAAAACAAAATCGATAATTTTCAGTAGAATTGAACTTGAACACTATTACCTTTTGTTCTATGCTTTTAGAAACACTATTCTGAGATCAAACTTATGGCTTCACTGAGCTGCCATCGATCAGGGTCATGTCATAGCCAAGGTGGAGATCACTTACAATATGCCAGTCCACTTCTCCAGGTGAAGATTTGTCAGGATGATTTTTTTTTTAATTTAGTATACTCTGGTTTTATGTGATTATATAGATTATAACTCAGTGCAGCACTTTTTGCCCTTCAGGAAGGAAATACAGTTCTCAACTGTAAAAGGTGCAGGTGAGCCTCTGAGTCCCCAGGGAGACATTCTCTTCATCCCAGGAGGAGGTGATGTACAGGCTTAGGTAACAGGCTTCTCTCTAGGCTCAGTCTTGACTGAGCAGCCTGAGTTTGCATGTGCAAGCCATATCCCACAGTGTGGCAGATTCCTGTGCAGAGGGCTCCGGCTGAAATCCATCTGTGTTGCTGTAATATATTCCACAGATCCCACCGTTTGTGCCCCACTGGAAGCATAGCTGCTTGCTTCCCATTTGTGGCTTGCATTTTGCGGGAGTCCTTTGGAGACCTAGAGAGGAACTTTTCATCACTGGTCAACCATGATACTTGGGTTTCTGTGTTCTCCTTAGTGCTTCAGGAACCCCTACCTCAGACACCAGGTCAAGGCACATGGCTGGTTACAGGCTCCAGACCACCTGACAACATGCTGATGGAGCACCGGGTACTGGGAATGCAATGTCTCAGTCCTCAGAAACTGGGGATGCTGCTGAACAGAGATGGCTGCAGGCACTGCTGGGGGTGGGGCAGCCTCCACATTCAGGGAGCTTTGGGGCTGTATTGGAAGGCTCAGCAATTGCATCTGGGGCTGTCACTCAGGGATGTGCACTGTCAGTCCTTGAGAAACCAGCTCTCACTGTCCAAGGACCAGAAGCAGGACCCACAAGAGCCTGTCCTCCAGTAGTGAAACCATGGTACCTGTTCACAGGAGATAACACAGTTACACGAAGCTGCCAATCTGACAAAAGGAAGCAGACATTATTCTACAAGCTATTCAATGCATCACGCATTTCTGGATGCCTTCTCCTGTCCCATCCCTTCCTGTCACCTCTTGACTGCCGTCTCTAGCTCATTGCCCCAGCCCCTGCCTCCAGCTCTCTGCCTCCCACTGCCTGGCTTTATTTTCTTTATGGCATTCACCACCACCAGGCACGTTGTTTATTAATGGTTTTCCTCACTAAATTGTCCCACCCAAGATGTCAAAGATTGTCTCTGACAGATTTACTTAGAGCCAGGAGTCACACTTGGTCCAGAGTAACTACTCTGTGGCCATTTGTGAGATGAGTTTGTACAAAAAGTCTTAAATAGTTTTCAGGTGGCAATGCTTCCTCTGCAGGCCCCACCTCCTGTTCAGGGCTCAACTTTTGTTCTCTCTCCTTCCTTTCACTCTTTCTGCTCTTGTGAACTGTGCTCAGGATATTTACCCAGCCTACAAATGCCTCGTTTGGATCTCTCCTGCAGTTGCTTGCAGTTGGAAAGCTGTCCCCACTTTCCAGGGAGACCTGAGCTACCCTGTGTTTGACATGTGCTGTACCTTTAAGAACTCACACGCCCCTTGGGGACTCACAGCCCCCCACCCCCACCCCCAGCTTCACAGCTTTGTCCACTTTCCAGTCAGCTTTGGAGGGGGCTTTAAGCAAAGCTGTCCCTGGCTTTAACTGTGGCTGGTGCAGACTTGCTGGATCCTAGCAGTTCTTTCATGGTCCTCTTAGCATTCAGTATTTCCCTATTATACCTATCTTACAGCATTTTCCTGTACTCTTGTTATTCCAAAAGGCATTATACTTAAACACAGTACGCAAGCAAGGTACTGTGTGATGTATTTACATAAGCCCCAAATGTATATACCTAATGATGTTCCTGCTCTGGTGAATCAGTTTCATTTTTATAATCTACTAAGAAATTCTTTCTCTCTCAGTAGCATTAAAGGTCTGATTTGTGGTGGCGGGGGGATGAGGGGAACTCCCTAAATTGTTTTATGCCAGAGAGTCTGATTTCTTCAACTGTTCAAATTAGATGAGAGTTGGTCTACAGGGCTTCCTATGCAATTCCAAGCATCATCCTCTCTTCTCTCTCTCATTCTCTCTCTCTCTCTCTCTCTCTCTCTCTTTCTCTCTCCCCCCCACCCCCCCCCATAAGCTAGAAGACAAAGCATGATAGCATGATAGTCTTGCATTCACACACAGCCTGGCCTGCTACCCCTTTCTGGTTTTCTTCCCCCTTTTTGGTGACTACATTAAGTCTGGGGTGCTCTACAGCTCCTAGAAGCAGAGCCCCTCTCCCCACTCCCCGCCTCAGAACTGTCCTTGGACAAATGCCATTGTTCACTGTAGCCGCCCTCCACGCTGAGATGTTCCACATGACTGTGGATCTGCTGTCAAGCCTGAGAAGCCTTTCCTGAGTCACCATGGGAACCAGGAGCGAAGGTGCGAGGCGACCTGTGGGGCAGCAGGAGTGGATTATTTAGTGCATGTTATTATTATATGTAGTACAGGCGGAAAATTACTTTGAGGACATAAAAATTATAGTCGCTCTGAGGGACTAGGCTCCCGCCACTCAGGAAAGCACCAGGGGGACTTGAGGCTGATTTTTGAAAGTAGCTGACCTCTCAAGATGACCATAGTACGCCATGTCCCATAGAGAACATGGCACTGGGCCCTTGAGGATTTTTGGACTTGTACAAAACATAGAATTGACTATGTTCCTGCTCTGGTGAATCAGTTTCATTTTTATAATCTACTAAGAAATTCTTTCCCTCTCAGTAGCATTAAAGGTCTGATTTGTGGTGGGGGGGGGATGGGGGGAACTCCCTAAATTGTTTCTTCTTCAATAGCTCAAATTAGATGCGAGTTGGTCTACAGGGCTTCCTATGCAATTCCAAGCATTCTCTCATCTCCCCTCTCTCTCTCTCTGTCTCTCCCACACACACACTGATAAGCTAGAAGACAAAGCATGATGGTCTTGCATTCACACAAGATAATCCTGGTGTAATGAAGCTATGGGGTTTACATGATACTTCAGAAAGCCTTGTTAGATAGGCCCTTCACTTGCAGTTGCAACTAAAGAGATTGTTTGACGATGGTGGGTCCAGGTGGTGGGAGATGCTTCTAGAGGGTAAGGAACATGTGATTTACCCTACGTACTCACTAGTCAGAATTAGGAACGATGTTCATGGCCTTTCATTCATTGACCGAGTAGTGCGTTTCTTTCTCATGGTAGGAAACAGTTAATGAGACAGTCCCAGTCTCTCCTCCTCTGTCCTGGGGGAGTGGGGGAGGATTCTTGGCAGTAGCAATCTGAAGAGGCCGTTTCGCCTAGAAGAACATGGTTAGGGTACTAAGATGAAGCAGGGTAGGACAAACAGGAAGTAAGGAGCTCAGAGGCCTCACAGTGGTCAGATCATGTCGAGCCCTGATCGTGTGCGGAGAATTTGAAAAGTTCTGGATTATTCCTAAGGATAATGGGGAGTCACGTGGATTGTAAGCAGAAGTGTGTGAGCGGATGTGGAGCATGGAGGACGGGAAGCCCAGGCAGGACACAGCTGCAAGATGAGAGACCATTGCTGCCCCCAAATAATCATGGGTCCACAGCATAAACCGGAAGTCCTCATTCCATAGCAAACTGTTTCTTTAAAAATATGTGATCAGCACATCACTTTGATAATTGATATAAGAAGTTATGAAACATTTTCTCATAGCTCACAATACCTAGGAAATAATTTCACACAAGACAAGGGCACTGTGCTTTCAATGCCTCATTTGTTCTGTCATAGCAAGATCTTGAAAGCATTGGCAACTCTTCTAAGATCTCCCTTCAGCCCTTAGCACTCAAACTACCCCTGTCCCAGGTGCCTGTCTTCCCACAGCTGCTGAGGTTTCTCTTTCTCAGCTGCAGCTCAGGTCTGTGGCCAAAGGCACAGTCACTTAACTAGCTTCTCCCAGTTCTGCAAATGTAGCCACTATTGTAATCTATGTGTAACAAAATACCACAGGCTGGGTAACCCACCAATCACAGAAATGCATGTGGCGAGCAGTCCAGATCAAAATGCTACAGACTTGATGCCTTTGCCTCCAGAACAAAGTTCTGTTGCTGTGTATTCTTACAAGTGAACATCATGGGCAAGAGGGGCAAGTGTCCTGGTCTCTGTACTGCCTGGGAGCTCCGCAGTCACCGATGGGACCAGAAGTGGCATGATAAACAGTACAAGAAAGCCCACTTGGGCACAGCCCTGAAGGCCAATCCATTTGGGGGTGCCTCTCATGCAAAGGGAATTGTGCTGGAAAAAGTAGGGGTTGAAGCCAAACAGCCAAATTCTGCTGTCAGGAAGTGTGTCAGGGTGCAGCTCATTAAGAACAGCAAGACGATCACAGCATTCGTGCCCAATGATGGCTGCTTGAACTTCATTGAGGAAAATGATGAAGTTCTGGTTGCTGGATTTGGTCACAAAGGTCATGCTGTTGGTGATATCCCTGGAGTCCGCTCTAAGGTGGCTAAAGTAGACAATGTGTCTCTTTTGGCTCTATACAAAGGCAAGAAGGAAAGACCAAGATCATAATATTTGACAATGGAAACACAGGAAAACATTTTCATCCCCCCCCCCCCCCCAAAAAAGAAGTGAACACCATGTCCTTACACAGTCTCAGGCAGCAGGGCAAAATGTGGCAAGCCCTGTCAACTCTTGAGATTACCCACGTGTGAGGTCCAGTCTCTCAAGATTTGGTGTCCTGTGAATGAGCTCCAAGATGGAGGCAAATTCCATGTAAAATTTGAAGGAGACACAGACATTCAGACAAAGGCAGTCACTTTGCTACCCGTTGGCCTTGTGTTTGCAGATGTGCTGGCTTGGCTGGTAGTTAGGAGTGGTGTTTGACTGTATTTCTGTGTTAGGATGACCTTTGTGATTTCCTAACTATAGCACCTTGGTAGTGAATATTTAGAGAAAGGGTCCCTTAGTCTTGCAGTATGGGCAGAGATTGCTGGGGAAATGGGATTCCAGAGGCCTTTAGGGCAAAAATCAAAAGCATCAAAAACCTAGCAGTAGGATGTGGGAAGGGGGAGGGAAGGACGGAGAGGCTCCCAGGCTGGAATGGAGACAACTGTGGTAGCAGTGTTAGCTACAGGGGTCGGGGGAGGCTGAGTGGGAGCGGGCACTGGCAGATGGGAATCGGACTACACTGTACAAACTGGGGTGACTCGGGGAGAACCCAGCAACTAACTACTGTCATTGTAAGTTTTGTTTACTTACAGGTAGCAGACACTCCATGAATGTCTGCTGATTCACATTTTGGGACTCCCCATGTTTGGATTAATTGTCGGGTGATAATAGAGAATAATGGGGGTGGTTATTGAGGGATTCGCAGGTGTCAGGCATGAAGCTTTACACATCTTACCTCATCCTTAACTTCCTAATCACCCTGAGGGGTAGTGACTGTTTCATTTGTCTGCCAGATGCTATTATCTGAGGTAGGTGCTGGGTGAGCTCAGTGGTAGTCAAGGTGGGAAGAGGGTGTGTTCTGGAAGCAGATGGAAAGTGAGGTGGAGGAGAGGCTGAGACGCTGCCTGTGGGAGGGTTCTTTCCTGAAATCTCTGGTTCCCTCTGTGCAGAGGAACATCTATTACAAATGGTCATGATGATGCTGGTTTCAGCCTCTGGCCCTCCAAGGAGAGGCAGCAAGCTCATCTCTCAACTGGACACTGGCTGTCTGACCTCTGAGATCACTTGGCTGGTCAGGGCCTCAGCTTTACTCGCCTGCAAGTGGGTATCAAAGTTGCAATCTACCTGTGCCTGGAGAGCCAAATGCAGGAAAGCATCATTGGACCCTGCCCTTGTGCACTCTAGCAGTGAGGGGTGAGGTCTGAGAGTGAGGGACCTGCTGGAGGTGGGAGTGCTGAGCCTAGAATGAGTTTTCCTCATCTTTATTTTATAGAAACTTGTTGGGGAAACCTTTGGATAGCCCCCCCCACCCCAGCCCCCCACACACACTCAGAATGTACTTCAGCAGGATTTATGGCGTGTGGGAGACTTTCAGATATGCAAGGTGCATTAATCCTAAGGACGGTGTTTCCTCATCTAGTGATGCTGAAGCCACTGTAGTCCACTAGGCCTGTTTGCAGAGGCTGGCTGGTCCTATGAAAGGCTAGCATGGGTAATTATACACAGAGCACAGTACTTGATACTGATGACAAATGACTATGCTTGCAGTTTATGTATTTACTGTAGTATCAAGATATTGACCCTTTACAAAAGCTGTGGGGCACAGACTCATTTTATAGATGAAAACTTTGGGGTTCACAGGAGTTAACCAACTGCCTCTGGCCAACCTGCATTGATATGCTACCAGGAGGTGCTATGTCATAGGGAACAGGTGACAGTAATCTTAGAGTTGGCAGGTGTCATGGAGATGCCTAAGGCCAGAGCTGAGTTAGAGCCATGTGCTACCAGGATGAACTGGGGAGAGGGCAAAGGTGAAGGGTGACCTTAGAGGAGAGTACAGGTTGCAGAGGGTCTGAAATGTCTAGCTTCTCTCTGTTCACAGGAGTGATAGTGTCTCTGTTGTTTGAGCAGAACCAAGAATTGCATTATTGTGTGGCTTGTAGGGTCTACTGGAGGCCAAGAGGCCAGCCACCTAAATCCCAGTGGACCTGAGAGACCATTACATATTAAAAATGTTCAGAGAAATGGGTATTGGATGCTGTTGGTGTAGGTGTCAGAGATAGAGACTAGGCGGGGACTTCCTGTAGCTGGGAAATTTTTCTTTAATCATAGAAGGCAGGCATGAGAAAAAGCAAGGGGAAGCAGAAAGTAGGTCTCAGAAAAACGCTAATGGTGTCAGGCAAAGATATAGCCTGAAACTTACCACTAATGACATTTTTTTTTTTTTTTTTTTTTTTTTTTTGGTTTTTCGAGACAGGGTTTCTCTGTGTTGCCCTGGCTGTCCTGGAACTCACTCTGTAGACCAGGCTGGCCTCGAACTCAGAGATCCGCCTGCCTCTGCCTCCCAAGTGCTGGGATTAAAGGCGTGCGCCACCACCGCCCGGCCACTAATGACATTTATAATATTAAACAGTTATATAGAACTGTGGGGAGAAAGTCATTCTGTCTGTCCTCCTTCCACTGTGGGGAAGCTTTCCTCTTTCCTCGGATTCTCTCTCTCTCTCTCTCTCTCTCTCTCTCTCTCTCTCTCTCTCAGTGTGTGTGTGTGCACGCGCACACGCGCACACGCACACACGCGCACATGTTTGATTCTCCTTCCTTTCACGCAGAGGACATTTGGCAATAATATATCAATTTTTGTTTGTCACACAGGAGAGGAGGGGAGGGAGGCTGCTATTGACACCCATCAGCTACAAGTTAGGTACACTGCTCAACATTCAGGATAGCCTCCATAATGCCAGCCATGTTGTAGCCGAGAACCTATGCTAGCTCATTACACTTCTATCATAAGAGCTTTGCTCACCAAGAGAGCAGCTTGATCTAAGCCCAGTTCTTATCTTGTACAGTATGGATACATGCCACTTCGTGTTTCTCTGTTGGAGAAACCTGCAACATGGGCTGAACTGTAGGATTCCCTTGATGGTCCAAGTATGTGTGTTCAAATCACTTCCTGAGGGGTATGTGATGGATTGTGTACTGGGTCTGGGGGGAGCCCACCATCTACCTGTGGTCAGCATCCAGTCTAGGCAGAGCCTAACCAACAAAAGCAGGAACAGCCAGAAGCATATGTGTTCTAAAGCAGTCAAGCTGGCATGAGTGAAGTGCAGCGGGCTTGAAAGGGCTTGCTCACCAACAGGAGGGAGGAAGGATGTTCCTGAGATTGTCGGGCAGTGAAGTGCCAAGCTAAATTAGTGCCCTGTGTGTAAAAACATTTTGAGCAGTCTTATGGAGGAAGAGCAGGCGAAGGGTGCCTTAGCTGTGATAAAATATTGAAGATTTTTTTTTTAAACAAGCATTTGTTAGTGGGGTCAAAGTCTTTGGATTCCATCTGAATGTGTAATCAGGGAGGCTGTTTGTCTTGACTATTTCCAGCTTGCTATAGTGCCCCCATTTCTAGTGAGAGTGAATGGGAGGGAGGGAACTAGAAACTAGCCAATCAAAGGTATTATGACTCTCCCTGTTCTAGGTTCTTGTCTCTTTGGAATACGTAGTCCTCCTTTGGTTATTGTTTGTGAGAGTTATTATACAGGAGAATGGTTTCTTTGTCCCGTTGAAATTCATGAAAATCTCAGCATGTACTATTCAGAGAGAGGATGTAAGGAGATGGTTAAGTCAGGAGGGTAGAGCCCTTCTGAATGGAATTAGCGCCCTTATAAAAGAGCTTCTGGTGAACTTCTCCCTTCCACCATGTCAGGATGTGGTAATACATCCCTAATCTATGAACCAGGAAGAGGGTTCTCAAAAGATATCAAGTCTGCTAACACCTTGATCTTGGCCTTCCAGCTTGCAGAACTGGGAGAAACAGATTGACATTGTTCACAAACCACCTAGTGGGTAGTATTTTATTTTAGCATCACAAGTGGACGAAGGTGCTTCTCTTGTTTTTCCCCAAGATGGTAGCTGGATACAATGAAAGCCAAAATGACTTCCCAATGGAAGGGGGAACCAGATGTTTTTTGTACAGCCTGGTACCGAATGCCTCCTAAAGAGGTGGTGGTTTCTTTTTTTTTTTTTTTTTTTTTGGTTTTTCGAGACAGGGTCTCTCTGTGTAGTCCTGGCTGTCCTGGAACTCACTCTGTAGACCAGGCTGGCCTCGAACTCAGAAATCCACCTGCCTCTGCCTCCCAAGTGCTGGGATTAAAGGCGTGCGCCACCACTGCCCGGCGAGGTGGTGGTTTCTTATATGGTCTTCTTGTTTATCAGGGTCCAACAGACCTGATTCAGCTCCCTCTGAGTGCCCGTGAACTCTACCCACATGAGAGACCAGTACTTCATCTGGTGTCTGATCCCTGAGACCACTCCATAACCTCTGCAGGGGGATGGCCTTGCCCTTCTTTTCCCCTTGACTCAGGCACTGTGATGCCATCTTTTCCTGGTCTCTGGCAGTGGGGCACAAGGACTGCATGGGCCAGCTTCCTCTTCAGAGGATCTGGGGTTGTAATGTCATCTCTCCTCCAGTCATTGCACTTCCTAAGGTGAGGTAGATCCTCCTGCTGGGTTCCAGCGTTTACCTTATCCCCCTGCCTCCTTCTCACCTATCTGCAGTCTGGAAGCTTCTCTTTCTACCTAGTGTTCAAGAAACTCCCTGAAGCTCGAGTTCTTATAACAATGGCTCTGACATGTGCAGGATTTATTGTTTTTGCTCTTTTATCATTTGTTTCTTTGTGTTTTGAGACAGGCTCTTGCTATATTGTCCAAGCTAGCCTCCAGCAACCAATCCTTCTGCCTCCACCTCCTGGGCAGCTGGATATATAGAACATGAATAAAATGGCAGGGGCTGCAGCTACTGTCTCCACATTGCTAAGTGCAATGGTCAGTGTTCAGTCTTTTTTTTTTTAAAGGTTTATTTATTTATTTTATTTATTCATTCATTACATGTAAGTACACTGTAGCCGTCTTCAAACACCCCATAAGAGAGCATCAGATATCATTGTGGATGGTTGTGAGCCACTATGTGGTTGCTGGGATTTGAACTCATGACCTCTAGAAGAGCAGTCAGTGCTCTTAACCACTGAGCCATCTCACCAGCCCCAGTGTTCAGTCTTTATCATCTCAAATTCATGTGCAATGTCTACCCTGCTGCTAACCTGTCTACTTTATGCCCCCTTACTTTGGTTGCCCGGATGCCACACTGGGATAGTTTATTCTCTTGCCCTGGCCCTAGTAGCTATGTATCGGTCGTCTCTTTCCCATGAGGAACTGTAATTTAATGAGCTATAATTTAATGCCCACATTCCGTGTTCTAGCTGTTACAGATCCCGTTTGGTTGGTTAGTACCCATCCGAGTGGCGATCAGAAACACTGCCAGTGCACAGATGATGAGCTGAGGCTCGAGGAGATGCTGCCTCTCTTTTGGGTCCACACAGCTAGTAAATAGCAGAGACGGGAGTCACACCTACATCTTATGTTATATTCCCATTAAGGGAACTGTACCCTTCACTAAAGTCAACCTGAAAAGCCTCTGGGAATCTCTTTCCCTCTGGCTTTTTCAAAGAAGCAGCCTCAGTCTTGAGTGGTATTTCACATCCTTCATGAAATGCAGAGCTGTCAATAACCAGAACCCCTCTCTGTTGACTCTCTGTCTTCAGACAGTCTTCCTTTTAAAAGCATCATACTTGGATGAGTATCTTGCTTTGAATATGAGAAGTTTGTCTTAAAAAAAATAATTTTTGTGTGTATGTGCTTGCATGAGTCTATGTGCATCACATGGGTGTAGTAGCCCACTGATGCCAAACGAGGGCATCGGATCACCTGGTATGGTTTATAAATGGTTGTGAGGCACTGGGTGGGTGCTAGGAACCAACCCCTCATCCTCTGGAAGAACAGTGTGTACTCCAAACTGCTGAGCCATCTCTGCAGCCAGGAGAACCTTATCTTAAAGACTAGCTATTCCTAATCAATGATGAGAACAAGGCCCCTAGGACTCTCTGGCTCCCACTCATGGATGAGTTTGCCCTGGTAAGTGTTTTCATATTCCTGTCCCTCTGTGCTTCTGGTGAGGCCCACTCTTTCCTAAGCTTCTTCAGATGCCCACTCTCTTACCAAATAGAGACATTAGTGGGAAAGGCTGCCTCTAGTGTGTCTTCTAGTGAGCCTGTTTC